ACCCAGGCGCCCCTGAGAGAAGTATTTTTAAAACATGTATTTGACAAGGTATATGTAACTAAGTATTTGTATAATTCTTACAACGCAATAATATTAAGACAACCCAGTTTAAAAAAATGGATGAAAGATGTGATGTATATAAAAGAACTATTTTGGAGAATATTTTACCAGGTTTTTAAAGAGTGAAGGCTTCACCTACTTGATTGAGCAGTCCCACTCTAAGAGAAATGTTAGCACATGTTCACAAGAAAACTTGTACAGGATTGGTAATGGTAGCTTCTTTGTAATAGCCCCAAAGTTGAAACAATTCAAATGTTCACCAGCAGATGAACAGAAAAACAAATAATGGTATGCCATGGAATGCTACTTTAGCAATTTAAAAAATGAACAATTGATGCAACAATATGGATAGATCTCTAAATAGTGATGCTGAGTAAAAGAAGTGCTAGAAAATGATCAGAGGTCTCTTGGGAATGTACCACAGAGGGAAGTGACAGGGACAGATTACAAAGGAGCCAAGAGAACTTTTGTGTGTGAGGCATATGTTCATTATTTTGACTGCAGTGATAAATTCAGGAGTATATAATAAAACAAAACTCCTCAAATTACACACTTTATATATGTGCAGTTCGTTTTCTGTCATGTTATATCTCAATAAAATTGCTGAAGGAAACAATATATGATTTCTTCATAGGCTTCTAAACTTATAAAATTTTATTTTTTTGTTTGTAGTTTGTTTTTTAAAAGTTCACCATTGTGGAGCGCTTGGGAGGCTCAGTCGGTTAAGCCTCCGACTTCGGCTCAGGTCATGATCTCACAGTTTGTGAATTCAAGCCCCACGTCAGCACAGAGCCTGGAGCCTGCGTCAGAATCTGTGTCTCCCTCTGCCCCTCCCCAGCTTGCTCTCTGTCTCTCTCTCTCAAAAAATAAATAAAATAAATAAAAAATTTTTAAAAAATATTTGAAATTAAAAAAATTTTAGCATTGTTTTTGGGGCACCAGAGTGGCTGAGTTGGTTAAGCATCCATCTCTTGATTTCATGATCTCATGGTTCATGGGATGGAGCCCTGAATCACGCTCTGTGCAGAACTTGGGATTCTCTTTCTCCCTTTCTCTCTGTCCCTCCCCAGCTCTCTCTTTCTCTCTGAAAATAAGTAAATGAGCATTTTAAAAATTCAGCATTATTTTTGAAACCTGCTCATGTTGCTGTATTTACCTATCATTCATACATTGTCACCTTTGTATAATTTCATATGAAAATAACCATTAATTCATCCATTTACTGTCAATAAGTGTTTAGGTAACTCTTAATTTTTCACCGTACATAGTGATGCTTTGTAAGGTTTCCAAGGCATGTCTCAGAGTAGTTGTCGGGTCCTAGTTGCTGTTGACTTTAGAAAGTAAAAACTGCTGGTTATTTTACCAGCAAAAGATGGGTTTGTTCAGGAATAAAAATGAAGTATAATCTGGTACAAATAAACTGTGGCAAAACCAAAGGTAAGTCCGGGGAACAAAAGTTTCCTCCTCTGTTAAGGAGGAAAGGGGTTAAGTTGGGAAGGTTGCTATAAACTAAAAGTCCATCTGAGTAAATTGGGAATTTGACATTTGGTAACTTCTCTTTGGCTGAGCTGTTTGGGAGGTAGAGGGGCAGAAGGAAAAAAGCAGCTCTTGCTCAAGCTCAAAGAGTAGAGAAGTGTCCACCTGCAAAAGGAAGCCCAAGTAAGGTCAAGTCTATGTCCTCCCCGTGGGGTCTGCAATTCACCAGGCCGTGGTAGGGCAGAGCTCCCCCTGCCCAAACCTCTGCATTCTGTTTCGGTGAGGTTTCTTTGTTACTAATTGTCTCACACTGCACATCTGTAACTTCACCACATCTTTCCCAACTGTTCTTCAGTTTCATTCCATTTTGTCAGTAGCAGTGTGTGCAATTTAACGTTGTTTGTTCTTTCCAATATCACACATCTAAAGTAGTAAATTGTCTTAATTTGCATTTCTTCCATAATTTGAAACATTGGGCACTTCCTTGTGTTGGTCTTTTGGATTTTCTCTTCTGGATGTTGCCTACCAGTCAGTGAGAGGAATGATGGAGAAGCCACCTGAATTTTCTCTCAAAGGTAGACAGGTATTCTCTCTGCTGAAAAACCCATTTTTCTGTTGATTTGAAACGTTACCCTTACCATATACCTATTTCTCTTATGTTTTATTTTTCTTGCAGTTTTAATTCTGTTCTAGAAACAAATCCATGTAACTGAGGGAATTCAGTAAATGATCCCATCTACTGTACTTTCTTACATTGGGAATTTACTTCTGTAACTCTAGGTGATCTTGATGGGCAGAGAAAACACTTTTGATTCTACTCTCTTAGGAACTGACAAAAAGATTAACAGGAGAGAAAGGTTTATTTCATACGCCTATGTTGGGGACCTCACAGAAATGACACAGAAACTCTAAAGACTTGGAGCACCTAGGGGTGCCTCGGTGGCTCAGTTGGTTAAGCGTCCGACTTCAGCTCAGATCATGATCTCACGGTTTGTGGGTGCGAGCCCTGTGTAGCGTTCTGTGCTGACAGCTCAGAGCCTGGAGCCTGCTTCAGATTCTGTGTCTCCCTCTATCTCGGCTCCTTCCCTGCTCACTCTGTCTCTCTCTCTCTCAGAAATAAATAAAACATTAAAAAAAATTTTTTTTTAAAGACTTGGAGCACCTAGTCCATGGCACATGCGATCTTGATCTTGGGGTCATGATTTTGAGCCCTACGTTGGTCTTCGAGATTACTTAAGGAGGGGAAAAAAAACTCAAGAGAGGTAGTCAGACATGGAGGCTTAAGTACCATTTTAAGAGAGAGAAATAAATTTATGGAGAAATGATAAGACAAAGAAAAAAGGGTTTTATTTAGCAAAGTTTGTTTGTGAAAGGCCATTTTCGTGCCAGCTTTCTGTTGTCTTTGTGGCCATAAATCTCCCCCCAGGAGAGGAGATTTATGGCAGTCCTCATTTCTTAGAGTTTCTGGTCTTAGATAAAGGAAACCCCCAGATGGCCTCTTTCTTCATCTATTGTTTCTCAAAGCAAAATAATCAATATGCCAAATGGCATAATTTGGGGCAGTGTATTCTGATCTCCTTCAATGTCATGGTTGGTAGGGTGGGTACCTCAAATTGCTGTATTTCTTTTTTATATTCCTGGATTTTCCTACATGTCTATTCTCCACATTTATGAATTTTAGAATTATCTTAGAAAATTAGAAAATATTATTAGGATATTCAAAATAATTGCTATCAAAGTATAAATTATTGGGATTTTAATGGAAGTACATTGTATTAGCAATTCTGAGCAAATTAATAACCTTATAATCGTGCATCTTCCTGTCCGATTTTTTGACTTTTCTTGTACCTTGGTGCCTTCATGCTTTTTCTGATATAGCTCTGATACATTCTTGTTAAGTTTTGCTTGAATATATTTTTTAAAACTTCTTTTGCAAATATTTTTCTCCTTTACTCTAACCAGCTATTGGTTGCAGCTGGAAAAACCACTCATTTTTGTATATTGATTTAGTAACTGGCTATATTGCTAATTTCTAAATAGTTTGTAATTTCTAAATAGCTTTTATTAAATTTTCCCTATTTTCTGTTAATTCTGAAAGTCATGATAATTTTGTCTTTTTTCAATTATATTTTTTTCATTCCCTTACCGGAGGAAAAGCGATCAATTAACTAGAACATTGAGGTTCTTTAGTGGATGTACGACTTGGGAGTATCTTGCAGGGATAGTAGTATTTGGACAGGTAACGGGGTGGGGGGGGGCAGGTGACTGAAACACATCAAATTGAGAGGCCCAACTCCCCACTGTTGGAAGTTGATTGTTAGGACGGATTGGTGCCCCTGGAACTATACATATTACATCATAGAAAAAGTCACATGCTAGGGAATATGTCCTTTTCACACTAGTAACTACAGATAGCATTTATTTACATCACAACCAAATACTTAAAAGCCTGACATAAACACGTATACTCATTGGGAAACGAACGAGTCACAGTATCATTTTCAATAAAGCAGCATCAATTTAACATTTTTGAATTCTCAGACCTCAAATCCAAGATAAAGAGTCATAACAACCGTACCAATAAGATCCCCAATCCTTCAGCATTCTGGTCACCATGTGAATTAAAGTGAAGTGGGTTTTTTAAACACTTTTGTTCCCCAGGTTCCTTCCCCACCTCAGGCGATACTCTCTAAAGATTGTATACATCCTTCAAGTTTCTCCACCGAATTCTTAACTTCTGAAGTTCAAGGCGTTTGGCTTTACGTGTTTCTGCCTCTTATCCCCTGCGGGGGACGCAGTGATCGGCTTTGAGCCACCGTGCAGAAAAGGGGCCATCCAATCTTGTGCTTGATCAGCACAGTGTCAATAGTCGTCAGTCATATTGTGAATCTTCGGTGCAATCGAGTGTTCTCCTTCCCAGGTGAAGTTTAAAGGCGGAGGGGAGCCGACCCCCAAACTGCACACTGCTAGAGCCCCGAACGGACACAGCGAGAGCTCCACCGGCCTCTCCCCTTCCAGTCCTTCCTGACTCACGACCCAGAGTACACCCAGGCTTTGGGAGACAAAGGAATGCATATCTGGGACTGGGTACGGCCGGCTTTGGGGATCATTCTTTTCATTACGGGGCCCCAGGAGAGGACGATAAAGGTAGGCTCCGGGGGCCACGCTGCCGGCCTGGGCCTTCGCGCCGTCCCCGGGGTGGCCGGGACGCCCCACGGGAGGGAGCGCCACGTGGCCACCCGCACGGAGCACGCGCGGGCCGCGGGGTCCGAGGAGGTCAGCTCGGGCCGCCCCGCGGCCGCAGCCAATCGCGCGGGCGGAGAAGCCGGGCATTGTGACCCGCCCGGCGGGGGGAGCGGCGGGGGAGGGGCGGCCGAGCTGCCTCGCGGAGCGCGGGCGCGCGCGGAGCCGGCCAGGGCGGCGCGGGCGCGCACGCGCCTGAGCGCGCGCCCGGAGGGGCGGGTCGGGACTCGCCGCTCGCACGCCCTTGGGCCGGGCCGGGCGCCCGTTGTCCCTTTTTCTTCCGACGCGCTCCGCCAGTCGAGCCGGTGTATGTGCGGCAATAACATGTCCGCCCCGCTTCCCGCCATCGTGCCCGCCGCCCGGAAAGCCACCGCTGCGGTGAGTGGCGGCGGCCGGGGCTCGGAGGGGCCCGCTCGGCCCGCAGCCGGCTACCGCCTGTCGCGCGGGGTCGGCGTCGCAGGCCGGCCGGCGACCGGTGGGTGGGGGCGCCCAGCCCTGCCCCTCGTCGGGGTGGGGTGGGGTGGGGACGATCGGCGCGCCGCGGCATCCGGCTGCGTGCGGCGGGCGCCGGGTCGCCGCCGAGGCGGAGGATTCGCATCCCCCCCCCCGCCCCCGCCCCGCAACAGCCCCCGAACCCGAGTTGTCCGCATTGCGGAGCGAGCGCGGGCTCGGGACCCCCGGACCCCTTCCCCTCCCCCCAGTCCCAGCTTGGGGGCAGTGGCGTGCGGGGTTTTCTACCCTGCTTCTGTCTCGTTAGTGATGCGGGAATGGTTTATCTTCTTACCTTGCGCTCTTGTTCTGAACTAAAGAAGTTTGAAAATGTCGTGTCTCGCAAAATCAGAGGTGCTTGGTTTGGTTTGGGTTTTTTGCTGTTGTTGTTGTTTTTGTTTTTAGGAGACTTGTGTATGAGGATCTCAAACTTATTTGTACAGCCCCCCCCCCCCCGCACCCCCGCCCGGAAGTTCCTTTTTGCGATGGAAAAATTCTACAGCTTATTCGAGGCTTTCATGGTCTGACTCTAAGGAGACAAGATCTTTTTCTTGAAATGGGTGGTCACCTGCCGTTAAGAATGTCCAATTGGGGCCGCGTTATCTTCGGAACTCAAGGAGGGAAGTGAAGGATTTTGTGTCTCTGAACAGGTCTGCAGAGATTAATTTGCTGAAGGCAGCGTGGTGTAATTCTGGCACGCACCTGAGCCAGAGCCTCCGTGCCTAACACTTCTCTGTGGGGTTGTTCAGACATTTATTAATTTTTCCTCTTCTCTTATAGGTGATTTTCCTTCACGGATTGGGAGATACAGGGTAGGTACTGTTGTTAGTAATGAAATGGGGTTATGCAACTATTTACACCATCAGAGATTAATTAAGACCTTTAGGACTGTATAAATAGAAGACTGCTGTTATAATGCCCTCCAGTCCCGGCATCAGATGCAACCTTTTCGTTTTTGAAAACTCCCGGGATTTTTCTCTCCTCATCTTAAATGTGTCACGTTTCATCTCATGTTTCTGGAATGTATTAAAGTTGCAAACTCTAATGTGAGTCGCTGAGGGTATTTGGTGGAATGTTTTAGAGCTATTGTGCAGCGGAGACTTTTATAGAGGAGTTAAAATTTCAGTGTGGGTTGAGAAGTGATTGGTTTTGATAAGAGAATTAATAGCAGTGTGAGGTATACAGTCTTCTAATTCAGAGCTTAGATAGTCCCTTAAAAGAAGAAATCAGTTGAAGTGAAGGGAAGGCCACTCAAAGATATATTATTTGAAGGCTGAGGAGACAAGTTTTGTTGCGCTAACTTTAGATACATGACTTATCTTTCCCTTGGGCTTTTTCCTGTATTGAGAGGTATTTGTTCTTGAAAGGGTTTGTTTTGTTTTGTTTTGTTTTTTAATGTTTTATTTATTTTTGAGACAGACAGTGTGAGCAGGGGAGGGGCAGAGAGAGAGGGAGACAAGAATCTGTGGGGCGCCTGGGTGGCTTAGTTGGTTAAGCGTCTGACTTTCGCTTAGGTCATGATTTCACGGTTTGTGGGTTCGAGCCCTGCATCGGGCTCTGTGCTGACTGCCAGCTCAGAGCCTGGAGCCTGTTTCGGAGTCTGTGTCTCCCTCTCTCTCTGACCCTCCCCTGCTCGTGCTCTCTCTGTCTCTCCTATAAATAAATAAAAATATTAAAAAAAAAAAAAAAAAGAATCTGAAGCAGGCTCCAGGCCGGGCTGTTGGCACAGAGCCTGACGCGGGGCTGGACTTCATGAACCTGGAGATCATGACCTGAGCTGAAGTTGAACACTTAACCCACTGAGCCAGCCAGATGCCCTGAGAGATTTGTTTTTCATGTAAAGCAGTGATTATCAAGGGCACCGGACAGGCTCAGTCAGTAGAGCATGTGGCCATTGATCTCACAAGTTGAGTTCAAGTCCCACGTTGGGTGTGGAGCAGCAGTGATTATCCATTTGAAACTTGGGCAGAATTACAGAACTGGAAGCAAACGGAAGATAGATATATTTGTGATAAAGTAATCAGAAAGTAGCAAATGTTCTTTACGAGGAGGTGTTGGGCTAGATGAATTGTTAAAAGTGACTCCTAAGTACTCTTTTATGTCAACTAAGTAGAAGTACATGACCTTGTATGGAGTTGGGGCAGAGGTTGCAGGAGTCTTTGTGGCAACCACGTTGTGTTGTGAAAATGACAAGACCTTTTCTTACTATCATTTAACTGAAGAGAGGCGCAGAGAAGCTCTTTTACGGCCCAGCTCTTCTTGATGCTGAGAGTCAGGGAGGAACTTGCTACCCTATAACTTTCCCTCTACGGGATCTTGAAGAATCAGTCTGAGAGGAGAGCGTGTCAGTGCAGGAAGATTCTCTGTAGACCCCAGTTTAACCAGATTCCATAAGCTGAAGTTAAAGAGGGAAAATGACGAAGACAGCGAACAACAGGAGATTAAATTTACCAAGAGCATCCATGGCGCCTTGACTAAGAATTAAGTTTATGTAAAAAATTAAAGGTCTCCAATTCCCAAAATACTTGGCAAGATGAAGAAAAGCTCACTCTGAATCGGTCCCATGACTACATGGTGAAATTCAGAAGCAATCAGTCCGACAAGTGGCAATTTCATGTTCAAAATATATGTCAGGTTAAGTTGGTGGATGGTAGGGATTAAGTGACTCAGTTTGTTGCTACTTGCCTTATTTTTCCTTTCTGGTTAAGATTCTTTTTTGTAGAACCATCCAAGGCGTACTGTCATAGGTTTCCAAGTCTGTGTCTTTTAGATTGCTCGTGAAAAAAATGGCAACCAGTTAACAGAAGACCCATGTAATTCTATGTTTTGATGATTCTAATAATACACCCTACAGTTTTATTTCTGAGATTGGTGCTCATTTTACTACATGTGTGTTTATCATGGTAGTGATTTTTTTTTCCTTAAAAAGTTTTTTTTCAGTGGTGTCTCTTATTTAGCTGTGTCTTACTGTCTATAGCATATGCACTAGCATGTTTAAAGCTCCGAAGAGTTCAGCTGTAAAGAAGCACCTATGATAAAGTGTTCCTTATAACATGTATAATAAACTGTGAAACTGGTATTCAAAGAAATATGCTTTAGACTATACCGCATGGTGTGAGATCACAGTTTTCCTTCCAAAATAAAAATAACTCTTGTTATGATGATGCAGATGTCATATTTGTATTGTAAACAAATTCAAACTGTAAATATGAGAGGAGAATGAAAGTTAGTTGAAATCCCAAAGCCCAGAGATACTTATTGTTGATAGCATTTTAAGAAATTTTTTAAAAATTTTTTGATGTTTTACTTATTTTTTTTAATTTTTAATGTTTTATTTATTTTTGAGAGAGAAAGAGAGACAGCATGAGCAGGGGAGGGTCAGAGAGAGAGGGAGACACAGAATCCAGACAGGCTCCAGGCTCTGAGCTAGCTGTCAGCACAGAGCCTGACGCGGGGCTTGAACCCATGAACCGTGAGATCAGACCTGAGCCAAAGTTGGATGTTTAACCGACTGAGCCACCCAGGCATCCCAAGAAATGTTTTATTTTGAAATATTTTCACATTTGCTTAAGAGTTCCAAGAATATCATCTCCTCAATGCCTTTTACCCAGATTCACTTATCTCTGTTTATTGAATATGTTACTAGGTTTGCTGAACCCTCTGAGGGGAGATTACGGTTATCCTGATTGTTTATTTCCAAACCCTTTAGCATGTTCCTGACCACAGGAGAGTCTTTGATGTAACCCCAGAACCACATTTGGGACATGGAGCACTTATTTAATAGTATCATCTAATATAATAGTTATTCAGACTTTTCCAGTTGTCCCAGGAATGCCCTTTATAGTAATCCTCTCCTGTTGGATTCTACCTCCTGGTCACACTTTGCATTTTAGCTCTTGTATCTCTTTAGTTTCTTAATCGAGAGCAGTCCCTTAGCTCTTGGTGTTTCAGAACATTGACATGTTTGCAGAGATCAGGCGAGTGCCTCAGTTTGGGTTTGTTTGCCATTTCCTCAGGATCAGATTCATTCGATTAGTTTCTGCATTTTTGATGATTCTGCAGGTGATATGTCCTGTTCATCGCATTGTGTCCGGATACAAATGTCAGCATTTGTCGCCTTGCTGTTTGTTGCTCACTTGGGTCCCTTGACCAAGGTGGTCTTTTCCGGGTTTCTCTACTTCACTTCTTGACCCTTTGTAGTTAAAAAGCAACTTATAAGGAGATACTTTGACAGTTTGCAAATTGCACGTTACACTTTTACCCAGTGTTCTTAGCATCTGTTGATGATTCTTGCTTGACTCCGTAGTTAATATGATGTGATTTCTAAGTCTGTCACTCTTTATGTTCATTGGTTAGCCCCTACCCATTTTTTTTGCATGGGCTATCGATTTAAGTAATGGGATTCCATTATTACTGCGCTTTAAATTTTTTAACTTTTTTAGGGGGACCTGGGTGGCTCAGTCAGTTAAGTGTCTGACTTCCGCTCAGGTCATGATCACATGGTTCGTGGGTTCGAGCCCCACATCAGGCTCTGTGCTGATGGCTAGCTCAGAGCCTGGAGCCTGCTTCAGATTCTGTGTGTGTGTGTGTGTCTCTCTCTCTCCCTCCTTGCCCCTCCCCCACTCACGCTCTGTCACACTGTCTCTCAAAAATGAATAAACATTAAATAAAAAAACCTGTAAATTTACATAAACGTTTACCAGAAGTAATGTTTAGAGATCCTGATACTCTCTCAATCAGATGACCCAGTTGATAACATCTCTGACACCTTTGGGATATGCTGAAGGAGTATTGCTTCATTACTCTATAAAATTTCAGTGTGTATTTTGAAAGTACACGGACATTTCCACATCACCACAGTTAACCATCAGATAAGAAGTTAACATTGATCTAAAACTATCATCAAATATCTTGGTTCTGTCATGACATTTTCTTGATTTGACCCAATCATGTCTCTTACGGGCCCAGGATTCAATTCAGGATCACATGTTGCATTTAGGTATCATTAGTCTCCTTCAGTCTAGAGCAGTCTTTGTCTTTCATGACTTTGACACTTTTTGAGAATGCAGGCCAATGACTTTGTAGAATGTCCCTCAGTGTGGGTTTATGTGATGTCGCCTTCTTTTTTTTGTTTGTTTCTTTTTTTTTAATAGTTTACTGTCAAGTTGGTTTCCATATAACACCCAGTGCTCATCCACACAAGTGCCCTCCTCCATGCCCATCACCCGCCTTCCCCTCCCCCCCATCTGCCCTCAGTTTGTTCTTGGCATTCAAGAGTCTCTCATGGTTTGCCTCCCTCCCTCTCCCCACTATTTCTCTCCCACGGTCCCCCATTAATTTCCTCCTAATCCTCCTATACGTGCAATCATATGGTATCTGTCCTTCTCTGCCTGACTTATTTCACTCAACATAACACCCTCAAGTTCCATCCATGTTGCTACACAGGCCAGATAGTATTCCATTGTATAGATAAACCACATCTTCTTGATCCATTCGTCCGTTGATGGAAACTTAGGCTCTTTCCATGTTTTGGCTGTTGTTGAGAGTGCTGCTGTGAACACTGGGGTACGTGTGCCCCTATGCATCACCACTCCTGTATCCCTTGGGTCAATTCCTACCAGTGCTGTTGCTGAGTCATTAGGAGTTCTATTGTTAATTTTTTGAGGAACCTCCACACTGTTTTCCAGAGGGGCTGCACCAGTTTACATTCCCACCAACAGTGTAGGAGGGTGCCCGTTTCTCCACATCCTCACCAGCATCTAGAGTCCTCTGGTTTGCTCATTTTAGCCACCCTGACTGGCGTGAGGTGGTA